ATGAATCTGTATCACATATACAGATACGACACACGTGAATGATTAATGAGTTTTTTAAGTACTATTTACAACATTCGCATCCGTGTTGTATTGGATATACAAACTTGAGCCAAAATGGCTTAAAAAACAACTCATCTTATGCGTTCATTGGCAAAGTAATTTTAAAAATAAACGTTGTCTAAGCTGAGAAAATCAAAGTTAAAGTTTATGTAAATCAACATGAATCTGTATCACATATACAGATACGACACGCTTATGATTGTTCTTCAGCCTCCTACCCAGGTGCAAATAACTAAAAATAGGCACACTACAATGTTTTTGTATAGATCAGTGGCTCAAGTGCGCGGGGGTGCTGTGGGGAGGACGCAGGAAACGAAGCGCCGGGCAGAATATGTAACAAACATGGTGGACATGAAGTCGATGAGGATGCAAATGAGGAAATTGCTGTACTATTTGCCCATCGAGCATTACATTTGGGAAAGATTTTATGCCCAAATGATCACTGCGTTGTAATAAGGATTTTCCTCGAAAACGGTATTATTTAACATTTTAGCTGGTGATTTTCCTTTCGACTTTCCTCAGGACCTCTCGAAATTTCAAATAATTTTATAGAAAGTCTGCTGGAGTGTTGGTCATGAGAGAACTCGAGTTCATTGAACATGTAAGAAAATGATTTATTTATAATGGTTGAAGATATATGTCTGGTGTTGGATGCACATCATGAATATACTGCCTTTTTGCAGTTCGAAAGAAATGTATTCAAGCAAAGTCAAAGAAACTGGCCAAGTTATTCTTGATATTTAATACATTGAATTTATATGGAATGTTGAAATTTATGGGGCGCCGAACTAGTCAATATTGCAATTGAATATATTTGGTACGTTCGATTTTATGTTTGGCCAACATCTCTTTTCTTTTTGCCATTTTCTGTTTTTCTCTGGGGGTTTTTATTTTTTATATGGCCTATTCAAGTTTTTGTAACCTCACTTACTTTTTATATGCTCAACGCGACTTTTTATATGGTCAAGGTTTTTTTATATGGTCAACGACTTTTTATATGGTCAACGACTTTTTATATGGTCAACGACTTTTTATCTGCTCAATGACTTTTTATATGCTCAATGACTTTTTATATGCTCAATGACATTTTCTCCGGTATAAAAAGTCAACAAAAATTCGATACTTCGATTGTCGCCGCAAATGCAACCAAAGGCAAAGATGGCAGGAAGAAACTTCGAAGATATTTCATCGGCTTGCGAAGTTGCTGCACAAGCACTACAAGCTATTGGCAATTTAAGAAATCCTGATATTCGAAATTTAGCAGAATCAACTGCTTCAAACAGCAGTGCAAGTAATTCAAATATGTCGACTACTTCTGGTGGAAATATCTCGGCATTTGCAGCTGAGCTCGGACAGAGATTTCCCACATTTAATGCTTGCATTAATAATACACGAGGTAGAGAAAGTCGCAATTCTTCTAGTCGCAGTTCTGTTAAAAAGAACTCCAAAAAGCGGAAGTCCAACAATAACACTCAAGATGCATCGAGTGGATCTGGGACAAAAATTGGGCGACCTTCGAAGTCTGTTATTCACAAAGACTTAGTTATTATACCGAATCCTGACACCAAACAAGTGCCAAGTCACTCCAACAAAGTCAAACTGGAAGAAAGAGAGTTGATCATTCACGAATTCCCTTTCAACAAAGGATGGAGTCCTCTAGAACTCCGAGAAAACATTGAAAAACAGCTACCGAAAAACGTTTCTTTTGAGTTCATGAAGGTAAATATGAAATTTAATTAAATTTTAAAAATTTAATATTGTTTAAATATAACTTTATATTAAAATTTGCTTGTTTCAGGCTAGTCGTAGTAAACTTCGAACTATCAAGTGTTACAGTTTTAAATAGCTTTATTTTCTTAACAACTTCATTACTTCAACATATTAAAGAAACATTTGTTTCCTTACAAACAATACCCGGAAAGCATGCTTTTTCCAGGAAAAAACCCACGCATCGCGCGGGACTATCACGCGTCCGTATTTTAATAGCATACCTAATCTATTTTCGACAATTTGTTATATGCACCTATCAATGTTAAGCCCCAGAGGGGGGGGGGGCATATATGGGGGGATTTGATCGATCTTTGTCTCCCCACCCTCGGGAATTTGATCCTTATTTTCCTCCGGAGGGTGGGGATATTTGAATTCAGCTATCAGGTCAGGAGTGAATATTTGAAACCGGAAGTTGTGACCCGAAGAAGAGCATGTTTTAAAGCCTGGGACGAATGACTTCGCTTCCACTTTGAAGGAAATTTCCTTTTTGAAAGAAATTTATAAACTAATTGAAGGAAATTATCAGGAAATTCGAATCTGAAAGAAATTTGAAGGAAATTTTGGAAGATTGAAGGAAATGTGAAGGAAATTGCCTTATTTCTAAAAAAATTGATCACTTTTCACGTAATATTTCAAATCCGACTATGAGGACTGGACTAGATTTCAAGTCCGCGCAATTTGATCAAGTCCAAGGCGAAGCCGAGGACTGGATCAAAATGCGAGGACTTGAAATCTAGTCCAGTCCGAATTGGAGGATTTGAAATGACATCTCATGCGAATAAATCAATACTTAATTAGTTTAGATGCAGTCCAAGGAGTGAATTAATTTTGATCCAGTCCTAGGACTGGATCAATGTACATTATCAGGTATCCAGTATTATCATGTGAGCAAAACAAAACAATATGGTTGGCTAATTTACTCATGAATTATTAATGAGTTTGAGATTTAGATTTCCAGCCCCACAGTGGGGAATTTGATCACATTTGACTTAGATTTCCAGTCCCACAGTGGGGCTTTTGATCGAAAATTTGCACGAAAAGTCAAATCCCCCATATATGCCCCCCCCCTCTGGGGCTTAACATTGATAGGTGCATTAAGCCCCATGAACTTTGCACTATCCTGGCATAGTACATAACATGGACTGGACTGGAACAGTGACTCGGTGTTTTCACTCCGCAAAAAATAATTTCCTTCCCCATAACCTGAAATTTTCTTTTCACAAAATTTCCTTCCGGAAATCTCTAAATATCCTTTTCCCTTCCAACTTTTTATCAAAATTGATGGATTTACCTTGTATTCACATTTAGATATAAAAAATAAGTGCTAAAAGTAAGAAAAGTTTTTTATTCCTGACATAAAGTAAAGTTTTTGCGAGACATGGTGGATGTCCGGGAGAGAGGAGTTCTCTAGTTCGGACATTAGGGACCTTAAGCAAGTAAGACGAGGCCGGGATGCAAGAAAACCTGTTGTTTATCATCTATCGTATGAAAATAATACAGTTTTAGGATCAAAATAAACACAGGGTTCAAAATAAAAATTTCAAATTTTGAAATTTTTTTAGGCTTTTTTGTATATGTACATTTTTTACCGGCTGTTTTCATTTTTGACAACGAGAGTGTTAGCGTGCGCCTGGTAACGAGGGTTACCAGGAAAGCCTTGAAATTTGGGCAAGTTACAAAACGCCATGCAAATATTAGCTTTACTACATATACAGTTAAATACACTTACAGTGTATAAACAAGTGATCAGTTTAATCTACTAGTTTTGAAGTTTTCTTCAATCACACAAATTCTCACAGGAACTTGAGACTCCTATAAGTGCCAGTGGTTGTGCTAGTCGGATTCCGCTTCACATGAGCTTCTCATACCACAATCAAAGGGATCATCTTCAACACTATATATTGTCTCTTGTTCTGAATCAATTAATAATGGGAAATGCGAAAAAACATCACCTTTCCAGTTTAAAAATCGCCGGTAGGTGTCCTGAAAATGCCGGCTATAGCCGGCAGCCGGCCGCTATTTTGAACCCTGGCCGGTTTATGATTGAGAAAAAAATAGCAGTTGTCCCAGGTTGAAATGTAAGCTACTAAGCGTTGTATACAAGACGTGATAATCTGTATTTCGCCGTTGTAAAACAAAGCTACGGCAACGTCTAAAATGTCCGTAAGATTTCACTGAATTATCAATTTCTGCTCATTTTGTTGCATTATTAAATGTGATATTATTAGCTGTTCTCGTTGGACACTATTATAAAAGTGTAAAATTCAAAGCTGTTTCTTGACACTTCCCAGTAGTAGTACTAGATTAAGATTTGCTTTAAGTTCGCTTATGCCAGGGGAGTCTGAAAATTCATTTGACCAGACATCCTTTGTGAATGGCCCCTAAGCTGTTTAACCAGAAAATATTAAATAAACTCAACTACCTCACTTTGACGGCTAAAGTAAACTTTAAAATCAACCAAGGTGGCGTTCAATGACGCGTTGTGACGTCGTGTACAAGCGAGAAATTGCGTGCCTTGTCAATTTTTTTTTAAATAAATTTTTAATTGAGTTATTTAATTTTTTTAATACAGAACTTGTAAATATTTCAATTTTCAGTGGCCTGTCTAAAACGCATTATTAGATTATTGCATTGTGCAATAATAATGTCAATATTCTTTACATTGTGTAGGCTTGTTATGGAACACTTGTTGTCCCAAAACTTGCAGAAGGTGTTAGAATGAATGGTGAAAGAATACTAAAATTCTCAGGCCAAGGAAGTGTGTACATACGATGTTTGGAACCCCTTGAAGAGGAAGATGATGAAGATCAGGACCTTTTACAGCCAGTTTTTTCTGATGACGATACCTTGGAAAGCCAAATGACTGCCTATATTTCATCTTCTCCTGATGAAGTGACACAGCCTGCTTCAACGTCACAAAATGTTACATACAGCATTTCTGAAGAATTGCCTGTGTTTAATAATGAAGAGGAAATACCTGTATTTGAAGATGAAGAAATACCAGCAACATATTTGGAAGAACAATTTATTGCTGGTATTGATGTTGTAGATAGCAATAATAGCTCAATGCCTACATGTAGTTCCAATACAACAACAAATCATCAGGATATGCCCATAAGGATCATTAAGGTACACAGGTCACTTATTAGGGAAGATATGCTTCAGATTTTTTCTGATCCATCAATATTAAATGCTAGTTTGCATGCAGTAATTATTAATCAACTTGGTCATCAGGAGGTTGGAGAAGGCACAGGGGTCTTAAGGGAAGTGTTTTCTTTGTTTTGGAAAGAGTCCTATGAGTCGTATATGTTGGGTGAGAGTGAAAGAGTTCCCTATATAAGGCACGATTTTAACAGGGCAAAATGGGAAGCTGTTGGGAGAATACTTGTGAAAGGGTACAGTGAGTGTCTTTATTTTCCCTATCGGTTAAGCAAAGTTTTTCTTATTGCATGTCTTTTTGGCGAAAGTAATGTGACCAGCCAAATGCTGCTGGATTCATTTAAGCATTACTTGTCTCATTCTGAAGCTAGTATAGTAGATGCATGTTTGAATAATAGCATTCAATGTGAAGATGATGAGTTACTTGAGTTTTTGTCAGCATTCGATTGCAAGCGAAGAATTACAGAAAATAGTCTTATAGATATAGTCACCGAGGTTGCCCATAAAGAAATAATACAGAAACCCCAGTATGTAGCTGATTGTTGGGGATTGATTGTATCTGACCTTAAAAAGCATTTTCCAGATGTTTGCTCAGTTAACAGATTGTACGAGTCCATTGTGCCAACTAATGCTAAAGTTATTTCCATGCTTCAAGCAAGTCCAGTAACCCCAGCCGAGGGGGAAACCTTAGCCCACATGAAGAGGTTTATTAGAGGTTTAGATGAGGGAAAGCTTGCTACCTTCTTAAGATTTACTACTGCGTCTGATATGCTTCTCACTGATACTTTGAAAATAGTTTTCACCAGTTACGAGGGCCTTCAGAGAAGACCAGTTGCTCATACATGTGGTTTTACCCTTGAAGTACCAAGCACATATTCAAACTTTTGTGAGTTAAGAGAGGAGTTTATGGGAATTTTAAGTGCAGATGGGTGGGAAATGAATATAGTTTAAAGAACTTGTAAAGCCAGCTTGTAGTTTTTGTCCATTTAGAAAGTTAGCTGCTATGTCGTTGAGTTTGTACTTTATAACCACAGCTTAATATTTGTGCAATTGTTGTACTTCTAGATCTGTAGTTATTTGACGTAGCTCTTTTTTAAGAATTAAGGACAAAAAACATGCAGATGTTAACGTTAACGTAGGTAAAAGAAACAGTTAGTTTAAAAGGTTAAGTTTTTACATTAATTTTATACATGTATAATAATGTAAGCTGTTGTGTTGATAATAAAGTTCATGAGGTTTTGTTTTCTCCATTTCTCCATGATCATTCCTTTGATTGGCAGTGCAATTCTAACTCTGTGTGTTCTTTTAGTGCATACGCAGCCAAATTTCACTTGGTTTGTATGGTTGCAATGTATAAAGAGCACTTAAATATAATCGAATAACTTTTTATGTAAAATTTTGTTAACTTGATTTTTCTTCGAGATACTTCCGATCGAGTGTGATACGCAAAAGTCGTATTTGTGACTTCACTCTGTAAAACGAATTTTAGAAAAGTGTGAAGAGATCTTATACAAAGTCAAAACCTTAAAATTGCATGCCCAAGTATACTGTAAGTCTGTGTGAATACATCACTATAGTCATTAAGCTTTCTATTTGTCTGCAGAAAAAAATTGTCAAGTTAAAGTGATGCTGTTTTAAAACGTCTTTAGACATGAAATGAGATGTCACAAGGCAGATTTAGAAAACAGAACGCGACGTAAAAATGGCGTGTGAATGGCGTGATTTCCCATCTATGGATGTGCCACACCATTTTCACGTCGTCTTTGGCGTCGCGTCGTATTTCCTAAATCTGTCTATTTGCATGTTACCTGGTCATGTATTTATAAAAGAAACCGGGGTGAAATTTCACTGCATAGGTATTTTACGGCTACAATTTAAATCATAGAATTTAAAATTGCAAGACACTGAAGATACGTATTTTGACCATTTGTACCATCTTCTTGCAAAGGGTTGCATTGGTTTGCCAAATTCGTCATCTGTTCACTAGAAAGTTGGATGTTTGTTTCTGGAACTACAACTTGATAGTCATCATCCTCCACAGATAATGGACCAGACGGATCAAACCCATAATTGGGCGTATATCCAGCATCGAAGATACTTTGAACTCCAGAATAACCAGACTGTTGATTTTCAATTACACCAGACGTAAATAATTGAAGTGGAGTGCGATTTCGTTCAGATGATAAGGGATGGTTTTTCCACTGGCTTTTGAATTCTTGTAAACATTTATTTATTCTGGGGATATATATATAATGCAGTGCAAATAAATGTAACTCATTGAGCGGGTCCAGGAGCTGATTATCTTCCAATCGAGTAAATGTTCTTGCAAAGAAACAAAGTACTCCAGAATAAACATCTCTGTGAGCCCTCTCAACACGGGAGTTGTGTACCGAACTACCGGTAATGATGCTTCCTCTTCCAGTGCCTGTGTGTTGTAACATAAACTGCGCCACTTTGAAATTTTCCATACCATGGTCACTTCGGACCCTCGACGGTAATCCGTAGGTGTTCACTCCTTCTACAAATTGATTCAAAACTGTACTTGCTTTATTGTTGTTGCAACAGTGTGCGTAGATAATAAGTCGTGAATATCCGTCAATGCATAAATGAACAACGAGTCTCCATCTGGTGAGTTTGTGGTTACCGTCTATGTGCCACAAAGCATTTGGGGTGGGAACACTGTATTTTCTTCGATAAATTGGTGAACGCCACCTTAGTGCTGTACCAATAGGATCAATAGAGCGAAGGCAATTTCTCACTCGCCTCCGCTGAATGTTTAGACCCCTGCTTCTTAGTACACCAAGTAGTCGTGCCTGTCCTATATTAGGAGTTAATTCTTGGATTTCTCGAACGGTCCTTTCTAACTCATCGTCCGTAATCATTGCCCAGTTTGGTTCCTCCTCTGTTGTCATACCATACAATATTCTCCTCCTCCTAAGGGTACTTTCGCTTACTCCAAGAAGATTTGCAATCTTTATCCAAGAGAAGTGCAATTCTCTTAGAAATCGAATTTGCTCTTCCCCAATAACATAATGTGGGCGACCTGGACGGTTCTCCGTTGAAGCGATTGGACAGTTATAGGAATTTTCCCAGGCTGATGCAGAGGTGTTGTTCTTGTATTGTTGTAAAATATTAGACAAGCGTCTCACCTTGTTGACAGTAGTGTTCAAATTTACTGTCACATCAGCAAATGCATCATTGCCATCAATATCTGTTATAAGTAATTGAAGAGTATCTGCAGCAACATTCAGTCGATCTACTACCTCGTCAATCTCCTCCACTGACAATCCTTGAGACCTGCTTTGCTCTTCAAACGATACAACTGACCGCAACAATGACTTAAGATTGTCGAAAAACAAAAACAACCCCGATTCGTTTCTATCTCTGTTTGTGGTTCGACTCATTGTCGAAATTTACAAAAGACTATAACGTTACAATTTTGAAAATACTGAACAGTGAACAGACGAAAATCTTTTTGGTTTTTAACAGTTTGTTGACTACATTTAAAAGTCGCTGATCAGATAGAAAGTCGTTGAGCATATAAAATGTCATTGAGCATATTATAAAAAGTCATTGAGCAGATAACAAGTCATTGAGCATATAAAAAGTCATTGAGCATATAAAAAGTCATTGAGCAGATAAAAAGTCGTTGACCATATAAAAAGTCGTTGACCATATAAAAAGTCGTTGACCATATAAAAAAACCTTGACCATATAAAAAGTAGGTGAGGTTACAAAAACTTGAATAGGCCATATAAAAAATAAAAACCCCCAGAGAAAAACAGAAAATGGCAAAAAGAAAAGAGATGTTGGCCAAACATAAAATCGAACGTACCAAATATATTCAATTGCAATATTGACTAGTTCGGCGCCCCATAGAAATTACTATTTATTTGTACTGATGATACATTTTACATCAGAGGAGAAAATGAACTGGAAAATATTTTATGATTGTAGATTTCTTAGTTTCTAAAATTTTGTCAATAAAAGGCCTATAAGGCTATAATGCCTATAAAATTAAACATGCATAAAGTGCAAAATATGCCGAAGTCTGTGAAGGCAATTTAGACAAAAACATTAAATTAATATCAACCTGTTCTGGCCATTTAGCTATTGTTGTAACTGGCTGACAGTAAGTTTAAAGCACAAACCAACCCAATATCACCTCATGCATGTTTCATTTGTTGTGTGTTTTGTGCTTCACCTTGCTTTTGACCTATGAAGGCTATTGCCCTTGATTGCAAAAATCTACAATGTTTACACTAAGGAACGGGGTATACTCTGGACTTACTTGTGGCCACATACAATGCATATGACACCTAGTTAAAGGACAGAGTCTAACAAATTGAACAATTTAAAGGTATGGTTGCACATCACAAATTGTTGGGCTGATTTCAGATGCATGTTAATAATCAATTCTATTTTAAATATATGTGGCAAACATATGATGGTCTCACTGAAAATATTTGTCAACATTCAGCAAAATCTAAAATCAGCCTGACAAAGTGTGGTGTGTAAGCATGCACATACAATACACACATAACACATGATTTACGATGTTGTCATGCAAATTGGTCTCGAGGTTAAACAATCCAATCATGTTCAGAGCCACCCCAAATGCTTTACCTGAAATCGTTGTTAGGTTACTCAAATAATTGCTAAACTGCTTGGACTGGTGTAGGTTTTTTAGTGTAAATACAACAAAACCCTATCCCAGTTGTTTCTGTGCTTGCTCCTAAATCCTCATGAATACTGTATATGGTCTTTGGTTCAGCCAAGTTAGAAAGGGCATATGTTTTACACAACTTGGCTAAGTGAGATATACCAACTCATCAACATGCTATGCAAACAACAACCCCTGTAACATTTAAACTAAAGTTTTGATAATTTTATCCCTTATTTTGCTCATAACTTAAACTACTAGTAGTTGGGTCATCTACAGTGATTCCGTGACAGTGTAGCGCAAAGGTTCATTTCTCAGTGGATTTATCTTCTTTGAAGGTTAAATAACAAATTTAATTCCCATGCCCCTCGCAAATATGTGGCCCTGATTTCGTCATCTAATTCCACATCCTCTCCCACTCGTTTCAGAAGCTCACTTGCATCAGGATCATTGATGACTGCCGACAACACCGGCTTTTTCCCGTGCCCATAGAATGCAGATGTGTGGTCGCTGCCAGTGATCACATGGAGAGGTATAATGATACTTGCTACCTCTTCTGAAAGCATGTCATTGCAATTAACGAATCCCTGCGTTTCATCAGCAGATCGCCTCTGAGTTGCTGCGAGACATAAGCCGCTTGGACATACACTTCCATGTCCTCGCTGTCTATGACTACTGTTTCATTGTTGTCCCCGGCTCTCAGCTTGGCATAGGCAGAAGACAATATTGTATCTGCTTCTGGGTGATTGAAGACATAGTCTGTGCTAGCCACATCAGTGCTCAGGTTGGTCGATGTCTCTCCCTCACAGTATATGATGTCACTTTGAACCAGACCTACTCAACAGGGATTGCTAGCGAGTCCTATCCAATTTAAGTGCACGAAATATTTTCGTGACGACTTAACACTTGTCTTAGAGGACGCGCAGTATTTCAATTCTATTTCAGAACCATCCTCAGAGATATGAAAAACTAGTTTCATATTAATCTGACACTGCAATCGAGCAACAAAAAATTTGTTGGCTCGAGCGGGATTTGAACTCGCATCTTTGGGTATCTAGACCCCCGCTCTACCTATTGAGCTATCGAGTCAACAGGGATTGGTAGCGAGTCCTATCCAATTTAAGTGCACAAAATATTTTCGTGATGACTTAACGCTTGTCTTAGAGGATGCGCAAGAGCCAACAAATTTTTCGTTGCTCGATTGCAGTGTCAGATTAATATGAAACTAGTTTTTCGTATCTCTGAGGATGGTTCTGAAATAGAATTGAAACACTGCGCATCCTCTAAGACAAGCGTTAAGTCGTCACGAAAATATTTCGTGCACTTAACTTGGATAGGACTTGTCACCAATCCCTGTTGACTCGATAGCTCAATAGGTAGAGCAGCGGTCTAGATACCCAAAGATGCGAGTTCAAATCCCGCTTGAGCCAACAAATTTTTTGTTGCTCGGTTGCAGTCTCAAATTAATATGAAACTAGTTTTTCAGACCTACTCGTGTTCTAAGATGTTCCTTAACAAGCTTCTGCAGTCTGACCTTGTTTCCGGAATTGACCATGAGTTTGTTGAACTCGCAAGCTCCTGGGAACGTGTCTTCAGCCTTGGGATAAACATTTGAAATGTGGTGATGCTCTGCTGCCCGTCGATCATGTTCATCATCTTTGATGCTGAAAGGGAGATCATACTTGTCGTTGAAGAGGATGATGAGGCATGCATCAGCGAGGCGTGAGAAGATGATAGTGCAGATCTTATCCAAGTAGTCACTCCAGTGATACTCCGATCCGTCTCGTTTCTTAGACTTGCGGTCCTCGACTGTTGGAGTGGCTAATTGCCAGATTAACCCCATATCTATGAGGCAGACATGGCCACATGTTTTCTCAGCAACTGGTTCTAGGTTGAACATCTCTAACAACTTGCTTTTCGTTGTTTTGCGCATTGATCCATCTATGTTGTAGAGTGAAAGGCATTCCTCAGTCACTCTATTCTCAAGGACTGACTCGAGTTGGACCATGCCTGATCCCTCTGCTAGATCAATCAGGGCAGCCAGCCCCGCCTTCTCCATCTGGACCACCTTCATAGGCGCACCAAGCGGTGCCTGGATCTGATTGTTAGCGAAGTTCCGCCTCTTATTCTTGTGGATAGTTGCAGTGAGAGGCTCATTCTTGGTGAACACTCTCTCCTGCAGCAGAATTTCAACCTGGGCTTGGGCGTCTGGGAGTGCGGTCGTGAAGTCATGTAACAACTCAGGTGAGGCAATAACGCCATATTGCAGTGACCTCAATGTAGGTAAAGAGGTGTCGAAGGGATCAGCACCAAAATCATTCATGCATGCTTGGATGTCCTGAACTGCTTGCTCATCTTTCTTCATCCTTGCTGGTTGGCATTCAACATGCTTCCTATGGCAACAATGCCACTTGAGATTTCGTGTTACTGCAGCCTTCTTCACCCTCGCAACGTTGTTTACGTTTCTTGTGGTAGAGAACAACTGCTTCTCATTCAACAGGAGCTGTAGCCAACCTTGCTTCAACTTCGAGTTTAGATTCATTGTCGTTTCAATCCAAAGGTCTATCGGCTGACACAAGTGAGGTAGCCCTGTCATGGACTGTGCAAAGTGATCGTTGAAGAATGCCATTTGCTTATTTGGTAGTGAAGAGAGCATAGCCCAATAATCTGGCAACCATCTCCCATACCCATGGTTATCGTATGCCATTAGCCAAGGCAACATATCGTATGTTGGTGATAAATACTCAGTTCCATTTCTGGCATGGCATGCATCGATATTCTGGACAAGAGGATCCGACATCTCCATGAACGAGACCCAGAAGTCCCCCATGTCCGTACCAGGTTCCTTATAGACTTGGTTAATCAATTCTTTGATGTCGTCATCATCCTCAAGATTACTGTGAGCTTTCTGTAGATCCTCTTGTGTCTCTGTGAATGCATTTCGCAAAGTGTCAAGGTTCTCCTTCACATGTTCTGACAGTTCCTGATGTTCAAGAATCGCTCTCAATCAGTGATGAATGACAATCTCTCTCCAGAGTACAATGCATCACACGCCCACCTGTAATGCTTACTTCGAAGTGCTTGGTCAACGGAGCCCTCCACAATCACCTCTGCTGCAACCAGAGTTTCTGCCATACCAGAACCCTTAAATCTTTTGTAGATGGCATAGATGTAGGACATCTGCTGGTGAAATCTACTATCTACTATGCACACATTTGACTGAGTTGTTCAGATATTTTTTTCTTCTTGGTATGCCTCGGATTTCTCCGGTTTCTTTTCGTATTTTTCTGGTTGCACAAACATAATATTTGTCGGATGTGCTCCTGTTGCATTGCCTGTGAATCAATTTTGAAGTCGTTGTTGACAACCACAATTGCTGGCCTGCCATATACGATCTCCTGAGGACAGGTTGTTGATGCTTTAACATCCATTAGAGCCCAATGGTCATAAAGGAGTAGCGTGTTGGCGTAGCTGATGCAGACACCACTTTTGTGCAGAGTTTCTACCAATTCTTTACTCCTCGTCATTCCATGGACATTGACTCCCAAGTTGATAACAGTAGTGGTACGTTGTACAGTGACATGGTAGGTTATCATAGAGGCCAGGCTGAGTGTGGCGGGACTGAGATCAACTGTTTTTCTTTTCGGCTGTTTCAACCATGTCAATAGCTTCAACAACAACTCACATAATTCCTCCCCTTCTTCCAGATGATCGATCCGAGGTGGCCAGGGAACAGAAGATGTATCTTTAATCTTCTTAGAGAGCCGCTGTATCACGTTTTGGAGAAGCTGCTCATCACTGATGCCAAAAGATGATATGGCAGCTTCAATGTAGTTACCTCCTCCCCCAACATCATAGACCCACATGCTCTTGTTCACCTCACTTCTCTCTTTGAAGCCAATTGTGTCTTGATACTCATTAATAAGCAGATCCTTGAGATATGATGACTTGATATCGCCCACTGCATAACCATAATCACTGACGATGCGCTTGTGGTTGGCCAAAAGCGACTGCAGTGAACGAATCTCACAATTGGCAAAAACGATGGAGTCCACATGTCTAAAGAACAGACTCCTTGCCTCTGAGAGACAAACATTCTGAAGATACATTGCATCATCTGACTCAAGCTTTGTATGATTGACATACTTCTGCCAACATTTTATGGGGCTTCGGTGGCCAAGTGGTTAGCGCACTTGCCTTTCACCTCTGAGGCTGCAGGTTCGAATCTCACCAAGTACCTTCTCAGTGCGACTCGAACCCAGTCCTCATGTGAAAAGAGTAAAAGTCAACGCTCTGCCGAAAGCCGTGGGTTTTCCCCGGGTACTCCGGTTTCCTCCCACAGGGAAAGTTGACAGGGTGGGTTAGGTAAAAAGGGCCCACAGTAATTGGCATATGCTGTTGTGGTGACCCTGCCCTAGTTGGCAAAGCTAAATAAATAAATAAATAAACATGCGTGGTGGTACATGATATCATTTGCGAAAGGATCTGTTAGAGCTGAGGTTGACTCAACAAGCCATGTGAGACGATTCCTCAGCTCCCCATCTTCTATGAGGACTGGGTGGCGTTTAAATAAATGCCATGCTGACTGTGTGTTGAGTCGAAACAACTTTCCTCTCGCTCTATTTGGGTGCTTTGAGTCTTCACCACGCATGAACCATACACACTTCGTTTTGTCATGGAGAGGCCCATATACAGATGAACACAGGCGCTTGGGTGCCGGTGGTCCCTCTGTTCGTCATCACACCAGACGTTCTATGCCTGTGTTTCAGAACTTGATGTTGACAGTGGACACTGATCAATCTCATGTTCTTTGCTTTTTCGCTGCCTTGCTTTTTCAAGCTTCTCTGAAGAGGAGATTGAGATATAACATGACTGATGGATATAATGATCCCTCGGCCCATCTTTCCATGAAGTGGTCTCAGTTTCTGGTTTTTGATTGTAAACTTTCCCACTTAGCTTGGCTAATAATGTCAGAGGAGTGCACGGTTTACCACATTTCAATATGCATTCATAAGACATTTTCCTGTATGTGAAAAACAAGTAGTATAATATTTACTGAAGAAATTATCTTTTTTAGACTAGCCATTGAACATGATATTATTACAAATGATTTGTACACAATTAGAAGCACAACACAGAAAACGGATAAAACATATGAACATATAGAAACATAATTGCCTGTGAGAGTACAATTACAGACTATAATGTATTATTTATACTCACAGAAAAATGTATAAATTATATGGGATGTAGTGCTGTACAAGTACATACATAGTAACAGTTAAATATTAGGAAAAATATCTGCTTACTGACCTGTAGTTTACTCTTCTCAGCTCATCGTCTATAAGGCTCCACAAAAACTTGTTCAAAAAGCGGCTTTTGATCAGAAAGGTTGCCCACTAACTTTGATTCGATTGCTCAGAAATAGTTTAAAACATCAAATATGAATTCCTCATCCAAAAATATACATAATAGAGCATAATTAGCGAAACAATTGAATATTTAATAAACAATTGTTTCCAAAATGACGGCCAGCGGCCATTTTGGTTTTTGACTTCCCGCGACGAATGCCCACATATTTGCGAGGGGCATGGGAATTAAATTTGTTATTTAACCTTCAAAGAAGATAAATCCACTGAGAAATGAACCTTCGCTCTACACGGTCACAGAATCATTGTAGATGACCCAACTATAGTATTTACATTCAAAGAAATCTAGAGCTATAGCAATATTTATGCAATTTAATACTCTTGTGGGCTTTTATTTAGGGGCTGATTAGATGGGCCGAATTATCCCGCTTTGCCGAGTTGTCCCGGCTAAGCGAGTTGACTTTTCAATTGCGATTACATGCACCGCGCTAACCCGGCTAGCCGGGCTGAAGCAGCTCATTAAGATCTGTAATGCTTAACAATTTAATACTCGGTGTTAGAAATCGATTAAAAATGGTGTGTTTGTTGTATTTGGACTATTTTACCCGCTGAATGTTGTTGGTTGAGGTATTTATACTTAGCGCTGATCCCAACAGGCTTATACTGTTTGTATTCTAACAAAATTGTGTCGCTTCCAATCTAAACCTTGAAAACGTTCATTAATATCATTTTCATGTTATTTGAAGTTTTTTAACTTATATTTGTACATGTAATCGGAATTAAAACATGCATAAGTGTGGTTTTCAGCCCGCTTTGCCGAGCCAACTCGGCAAAAAGTGATTACATGGGATGTGTGGGCAATTTCTGTCCCGGCTAAGCAAGTTGACTTGGCAAGCTAGGCGGGACAACTTGCTTTGCATGTAATTGAAATGTGAAAATAATAGACAATACATATAGGAAGCGGGTCAACTCGCTTAGCTGAGACAACTTGCCCATGTAATCTGCCCCTTATAGACCCACTCATCCACAGCTTAACTTCTTAAACAAATTGACAGCTTAGCCCACTAAGTTGCACTGCACCCTACTGGGGCTATGGTGGCGTGCTGATTGCATCCCTGACTTTGGTGGTGCAATTGTCTGAACAAGGGCATTCTGGGTGAGATTGTGGGACCGGTACAATTCTCACCACTTCAATGACACTTATGTGAAAAGAGTCAGTCAACACTCAGTTTTCTCCAGTGAGAGCATTGACAGGCTGTCTGGGGATTAGCCTCAAACTCAGCCCTCCAGTCATAAGGTGACTGCCAGAGGTGCCCTTAGAAAGCCTTTTACTCAATCAAATTGTGCTGCATTGAACTGTACCAGCTACAGAGAAAATATACATTTCATGGGTTGCGTCTCATATTATACAATACTATATCACAGGCAGTTGAGGATCTTTTGGAAATCAAGAACAGTGACAGATGTCAAACTGTACACAATACACTAGAAAAAAACAAAAATAAACAAATCAGTGCTTCATGACAAATTTAATATACATGTATCAAGCAGTAGTCTTAATAGTGACAACACTACTGTACACAGAGCTCTGTATGAAAATTCTGTCAATTCAGTGATTGTTGGCTGAAAATATACTATTCAAGTATTTACAACTTTGATGTATTTTTTACCAGCAAATCTCAACATGGGCTTTTGATTCTGGTGTTAAATTATTAAAGGATGCTTCCCTGTTTGAAATGATTTTATTAAAATTCTTTTAAAATGTGAAAACTATATTTCTTGTATCATCTTGACCAAGATTACATGCATACATATAATTTGCAACTAGCATAATATGAAGATATATTACAGTAAATAATTGCACTTTTGTTATCATCAATAGATATAGAGAGAATATTGAAATCTCAAGGCAAACCAAACAGCAAACACTCACCTCTAACACACATTTCTTCTTCGCTTCCAAATGGTGAACTTTCTTCTTCCGAACTTGATGATAAACCGATGAATAGAAATTTTTAAACGAATTGAAACAATATAGTGAGTATTGTTACATGATAATGCTTATATCATGTAATTTTACATACTATTATATTATACTATATAGCTTATACTTTATATTCATATTATTAACTGAATAGCTTACATGCATGAGTAAGCAAATAGTTTTAAAGATTAAGATGTCCCACAACTAACGTAGCGGACATAACTCGGTTTGGCGTTGGCCGATTTGTGGTTACTGAGACTTGCTTCAACGAACTGTATTGCATAGGGGAAATGAGTCGTAGTTTTGTAGTTTCTTCCCCTATAGCAGAGCGTATAAAAGCCTGAGCACAACTAGACAATTCATGCATTATTCATAAAGTGAAAGCCTGAATAACATAAGTCCTCCGATCATTCTACCCCTTATTTTGATGTAACTAAACACATTAGGATGGTTCCACCGTTCCAGGAACTGGAAGTCGATAAGTACTTTTTACATTTCGAGAAGGTTGCCAAAAACTGCAACTGGCCGAAGGAAAGTTGGACAATGCTCTTGCAAAGTGTCCTCTTAGGGAAAGCTCGGGAAATTTTTTCACAGCTTACGGTAGACGATTCCGGAGAGTACGATACGGTAAAGCAACTAATTCTGAAGGGTTACGAGTTGGTTCCCAAAGCGTATCGCCAAAAATTCCGCATTTTAGGCAAATCAAGTAATAAAACTTTTGTCGAATTTGCGCAAGAAAAGCCTCAGCTTTTCGATCGCTGGTGCACGTCAGAAAATGTGGAGAATAAATACGATAGTTTACGCAAGTTGATTTTGATTGAGGAATTTACAAATTGTCTTGGTAATGATGTTAGAACTTTCGTGACTGACAAAAAACCGGAAACACTAAGTAACGCAGCACGTTTGGCAGATAATTTCTCGCTAACACACAAATTTTCGACCACGGGTATAAAATCAAATATGTTTCCTTCTCCTCGCGGCAACAACCTTGCATTTGACAATAAACGTCTGCCACCTCCTAGGCAATTTCAGGGACGATATCCAGGCAATGATTTTAGCTCTTTCAACAACAAACCACGCAATGGAACGCCAGAATCTTGGCGTAGACCACCACCGTTTAAGTCAATTCAGTGTGATTATTGTAAACGAAGTGGTCACACAAGGTCTGAATGTCATTCGCTTAAATTTAACAGACCACCACCAAAACCAACAGGTTTTATTTCTTCGTCAAACACGAAACTCGAATTCCATAGTTTATACGAGCGGCAACAACCAAAGCAACATGTCGTTGAGAGTAAACAATATATTCACAAGGATGAAAATGAATTTGAGGTCAAGAGCTCTGTTGACCCTAGTATGGACACATTTAAGCCATTTATATTTGACGGTTCTGTATCACTCTCAAATGACCAATCAAATGTTTATTTACCAATCAAGATATTGCGAGATACGGGTGCTTCACAATCGTCGATACTAACCAAAACATTACCATTTTCTACAAATTCGTATTCGGGCAAAAATGTTTTGATACGCGGCGTTAACTCCAAAGACTATCGTTCAATTCCATTACACAATCTAAAATTGCAGTCTGACTTGGTGACAGGCGATGTTTCCTTAGGCGTGATTGAGTCTTTACCTTTTGATGGGATACATTTGTTATTAGGAAACGATTTAGCCAGCGATAAAGTTACAGTTAACCCAATTTTAACAAACAAACCATGTCTTTCTCAACAGCCTGATCCGGTTGAACAAGTTATTCCAGATTTATATCCTTCATGTGCGGTTACTAGAGCCATGAAAAAACGGCAAGATCATGAGATAGATAATGTGTGAGCAGATGAAATTGACATGTCTGACACTTTTCTTTCAAAAGTATTTGAAAATTCGGATGCAAATGATAATCAAAGTAGTTTTTCAAAATCTAGCCTTATTAGAGAGCAACAAAATGATCCTGAGATTTCTGTGATTTACCAAAAGTCTTCAGACAAGATGGATGCCACAGGCGGTCCTGTGTGCTATTTTATTAAAAACGGAGTGTTAATGAGGAAATGGCGACCCCCTGATGTTTCTGCCGATGATGAATGGGCTTTTCGATATCAAATTATAATTCCGAAGTCTTATCAATCCGAAATTCTTAGTTTGGCGCATGACACTCCACTTTCGGGTCATTTGGGAATAAACAAAACGTTACAAAAAGTCACTACCCATTTCTATTGGCCTGGGGTTCGACAGGACGTCGTTCAATTTTGCAAAACTTGTCACACATGCCAAATTGTTGGAAAACCAAACCAAGTAATTCCTAAAGCACCATTAAAAGCAATTCCGGCTCTTGAAGAACCGTTTAGTAGAGTCATGATTGATTGTGTCGGACCACTGCCTTAAACTCGAAAAGGAAACCAATATCTCCTAACCATTATGTGTGTTTCAACTCGATTTCCAGAAGCTATACCTTTAAGCAATATTAAGGCGAAAACTATTGTTCAAGCGCTTACAAAATTTTTTACTTTATTTGGACTTCCAAAATCCATTCAGTCAGACCAAGGATCGAATTTTATGTCGGGCTTATTTCAGCAAGTAATGCAGGAACTAGGCATCAAACAGTTTAGATCGAGCGCTTATCATCCAGAAAGTCAAGGAGCACTAGAGCGATTTCACCAAACATTGAAAAACATGATTCTGATGTATTGCCAGGACACTGAGAGAAGTTGGAACGAAGGAATTCATTTACTTTTATTTGCTGCACGCGATTCAGTTCAAGAATCTTTAGGCTTTACTCTGCTTTACTCTGTTGAGCTTGTTTTCGGACATACCGTTAGGGGACCACTCAAACTCCTGAAGGAGAAGTTGCTTGTCGACGACGACAGTTCTTTAAATCTTTTAGAATATGTTTAAGATTTCCGTACGAAACTCACAAAAGCATGCGATTTGGCTAGAGAAAATCTTAAGTCGGCACAAAAATGCATGAAGGAAAAGTATGACAAAACTACCGTAACACGAAGTTTTCAAACCGGCGACAAAGTACTTGCCTTTCTTCCGGTCCCTGGAACACCCTTGTATGCTAGGTATTTTGGCCCCTACCTCGTAGAAAAGAAAGAGAATGATTTAAATTATGTAATAGTCACGCCCGATAGACGCAAGAATAAACAGCTTTGCCATGTAAATATGTTAAAGCCTTATCACGAAAGAAAGAAAGTGATTAATGCAGTTAGTTCAGGTAGTAATGATAATCATACAGCTGAAGAGCTGGAACTTTTTAACTTATCTGAAACAACTAAACTGAGCAACTCTGACATTCTTCGGCAAATGGATTACAAACTGACGCACCTTGAGCAAAGTCAACAAGATGATGTACAAGAACTTGTGCGAGAGTATTCTGATTTATTTCCTGACGTACCAACTCGGACGACTATGATCTCACACGACGTAGATGTTGGTGATGCAGTACCAGTTAAACAACACCCATATCACTTAAACCCCTCCAAACAAGAATCCCTGAACAACGAAGTACGATATCTTCTCGAGAACGACTTGATAGAGCCTAGTCAGAGCAGCTGGAGTTCACCCTGCATTCTAGTTCCGAAGCCCGACGGAAGTTATCGCATGTGTACAGATTATTGAAAGGTAAACCACCTCACAAAAACGGACACGTTCCCTATTCTGCGAATGGACGATTGCTTTGACCTATTAAAAGGTTTTTGGCAGATTCCTTTGAGTGAACGGGCGAAAGAAATCTCGGCTTTTGCTACCCCGTATGGTTTGTACCAGTATAAAGTTATGCCTTTTGGTATGAAGAATGCACCAGCAACGTTCCAGCACCTCATCAATCGCCTCATCGCCGATATTGATGGATGCGAAGCTTATATTGATGATGTGATCATCTATAGCAACACCTGGGAAACACACCTCGAGATTATGTGAAAGTTTTTTCAACGGTTACGCGAAGCTAGCCTAACAATTAACCTCGTGAAAAGCGAATTTGGATGTGGCCATGTGACCTACTTGGGACATATCGTTGGGCAAGGTAAAGTAAAACCTATTAGTGCAAAAATCGAAGCCATTTGTGCGTTTCCACAACCTTCCACAAAGAAACAGGTCATGTGTTTCCTCGGCATGGCAGGTTACTACCGAAAGTTTTGCCCAAATTTCTCTACTGTTACTCAACCCCTAACCGAGCTACTGCGAAAAAACATTAAATTTATATGGACAGAACATTGTCAATCATCCTTCAACCGACTTAAAGCATTGTTGCAAAGTTCTCCTGTTTTGTCAGCCCCAGATTTCAGCCGCCCCTTTAAACTAGCTGTAGATGCAAGTGACATCGCTGCCGGAGCAGTATTATTACAAGAGGACAACGATGGAATCGACCATCCGGTAGCTTATTTTTCCTGCAAGTTTAACCACCATCAACGCAATTATTCCACAGCTGAAAAAGAATGTCTTGCCCTTATCCTCGCCCTTCAACATTTTGACGTGTATGTTTCTTCAGCCGGAGTTCCTATCGAAGTATTCAGTGATCACAATCCACTGGTTTTCATCCACCGAATGAAGGACAAGAATCAACGTTTGTTGCGATGGAGCTTGATATTATCGGAATACAACATGCACATACAACACATAAAAGGACAAGACAACTTGATCGCTGATTGTCTTTCAAGGCCATGACCACAAGGCCATGACCACAGGCTATTTGGATTTAGGGTTTGGATACCAGGATTAAGTAAACAAGTTCGATTGCGACACAGCTGAAACATTTTTTTTCCTTTTTCCATAAACAAAAGAGTATTTTTAAAAACTAACCACATAACGTTTCTCACTTCACCATAGTCAACTTATATTCAAAAGTAGAGCGAATTTAAAATTTTGAGCCTTGCCACATATTTCTCATTTTGTTTGATTTTTGTAGACAGTCGCTCTTAAGCATACAACAGCAACGGTTCCTTTACATATCATTTAGCAAAAAGCTTAATAGGCAAAAACTTATGTAAATTCACTACAGTTTTATGTTCTGAATTTGAACCATATTAATGTTTTGTGAATGTCACCTGTCACGTAATTGAAAAGTATGTAAAACTAAAATTCATGATTCAATTTTTTTCTGTTTTGTCACATTGTTTGCATCTTCTACATCACTTTCATCCGTATAATCACGTTGAAAAACTTTCTGAAACCATGCTTGCCTGTCAGCCTTAGGTGAATCCTTCACACACGATTGTTTTTCACTGATAAAATGACGAACGGTCTTGCTCTCTTGCTGATGTCTTGCTCTTTTAGCATACTTTTCAAGCTCTGCCGTACGAACTGCTGACGCATGGAAAAACAAGGAGATGCCAGAAACTTTTCGTATTAGAGTATTTACCTCTGATACGTCCTTACACAGATCATGGTACGCTAATGCAGAAGAGTGAACTGCACAGACTGACTTCAACATTTGAAAGGTAACTTCTTCTTTGGTTCTTTCATCATCAATCAATTTCCACAGCCCATTATGCTCACCAACATTCTTGTTTTCCCCATCCATTGTCATATGGTTGGAAATGGTCAACACTTTTTTTAAACCAATTGTATCAGTTGCACCTTCCTTCAATGTTTCTAAATGACCCTTGGCACCTCTTTTTAACATGGCCAAGACCAACATAACGAAGTAATTCGTTTCCATACTTGTTAATAACCTATAACAACATGAACTCGTTATCTTTTTTAGTACAATCCATTGAAGCATCACAACAGAAGGACGCTGCCAGACAATCATCAATTTCTTCTTTAAATCTTGGTAAGTCGGCCAGCACGATAATTTTCAAAAGTTGCTGATGACTTGCTGGTGTGACGTATTGTAAATCAAATACTGATGCGTCATACTCTTCAAAAGGATTGTTATAATCGAAAGTGTGAGCAATTTCACTAGTTACGACTCTTGATGGCCAAGAAAAGGTGAAAATTGACAAATTTTTTGCATGGTTATACACCTGAATTATCAATTTACCGATTCGATTGGCGAGAAGGTGTGTTTGTGCATTTGCTATCTTGAATAAGGGTATTGCTTGTATTTTTTTCAGACGAAGATAACCCCTTGATTCTATTTAACTTAACAGACTCTTTATGAGTTTCGCTTCTGAGATGGGTGGCTATTGTTCCAGTACGGGCTTCTGTTCCTGTGCAGATGGGGGGAATTCGACCTCTGTAGAAAAACCTTTTAACAACATCCGAATTTTCATTGCAAGCTTTGCATCTTATTCTTTTTCTCTCTTCAGATTTAGTAGGCACCACTTCAATTTGTTTTGATGTAGTTTTGCTGAGAACACAGTCACTTTGAGATGTGTGTTCATGTTCAGCCTCAGAATTACTGTCACCTGAAACTGTTGAGCTTAAAGTTGATGAATTGAGTTCGCTCAATTTATCTGACTGCTTGTGTAGCAATTGTGAATTTGAACTATCATTTGTCATGTACACTTGAGCTGCTGGTTCTTTGCTTCATTAACATTTCATATAAAATCAAGCTTTGACTGCTTTTTTGCCATCATTCCCAATCTATTGTATTTTGACAGCCTGTGCAGTTGCTTTCCTGTTGCTAAGGATTTACAACTAACCAATCAGCTACGATGTTGGTTTACGTAACTATATTACTAATATTAATAAATAACAATTATGCCTAAATCACAAACATTTAGTCGACCAATGGTTCAAGGCTGACAGGTGTTATTGTATTTAAAAGCACTCTATTGAGAAGTATTCTAACATGTTCTCTATTGAGAAGTATTCTAAAGTTTGTTTAAGATATTTCCTGCTGTATTGATCAATATATTTACATTTTACAACTTTATTCCTCGAGTACGTTCGTAAGCCCAACCTTTTATAATAATATAATAACCGTCTTACAATATGTAAAGTTATGACGCTATGTATTCAATACATTAATTTCTTTTCACATGAAGTTTCACTTGTGATGGTCTGTTGTGGTATGTGGAGTACATTTATAGTAGTTAAACCCAAAAACAAAGTAGCCTCGACAATTTTATTGTTGCCAAAAGCAAGTATACATACACTATACCCACAATGTCAGTATGGAAACAGTACATGTGTATTATTGCATAATTTGGCCACATAGAATTAGTCAAATAGGTAAAAGAATCAGCACATGTACTCATGCAGGGCAGTAAGAGCTTTTCTAAAACAACGTCATATTTACGTAAATTTTACCATTTATTGCGCTTTTGTGCATTGATAAAATTTTCTTAGAATAATCCCTGAGTTGACGATATAGATATTTCTGCAGACTTAAAGGACATCGGCGATGGACTTTTTTATTGTCTTGTTTTGTTCTCCATAATTTTCTTAGTCAGGATATGTATTTCATTTTCGATGAAAATATCTCAATTTGTAGTAAAGAGCGAATGAATTTGGTCTAATTATGGAAAATCGCCCGCCATTTTGAAAGCACATTTTGGAAAATTATCTTTCATGTCATTTGAGACCTCTGACGTCATTGGCAGGGGAGAAGCAAAACAATTACGTTGTCGCTACTATAGCTTTTGATTAGTTTTAAATTTTGTGAAGAATTTTCGCTGGTTCTAGGCTTTCTATGGAAGAAATTCACGAGAATCAGTTAGGTGAAGTTTTACTGTATCAGTTTGAACCTGTTTTAAACGAAAATAGAGGTAGTAGTGGGGCAGAAAGCGATTCCGAGAGCGAGTCATCCTCAGACGACGACTTTGATGAAGTATTCGAGGCTGAGAATAGCTGGCGTCTTAAATCGCTCAGTTGGTGCAAGTGTGGCCACTGCACCTTGCAAACAAAGACAATCGAAAGCTTTTGCTGCCACGAAAAGGCTTTAGAGTACTATGAGTACGATGCTTTAGTCACAAATGCTGAAGGAAGCGGTCAATGTTGGTTTAGTAAGCTGTGGGTTTATAGTTATGGTATTAGTTTTACTTTGGTCAGAATTTTCTAATGATGTCGTTTGTGGTGTAGAAGGTAGTTCTACAATGTTTAACGTAAGATTGGCCTCTAAAATTGTTAGAGTTGCATTTACAGTCATATTCAGCTCTTGCGATTTGGTTTAGGTCTGCCTGTTTGGCTGTTTGTTTACATTCTGCGTCGTTGCTTCCCCTTCTACACTTATTAAAGTTTGCAGTATCAAATAACTGTCCAAAGCACGACGATTCTGTTGTTATGTATGCCTGTGTTTTGACTGTGTGTGATTTACTTGTGTGTTTCAGCGAGGTCTGAGTGTATTTTGATTTTAATCGTGGAGCGTAAAAGAAAGATCTGAACAGGCTATGATTACTTCCTCGCAAACTACATCCGAGTCTATGCGAAGGTCTGTTTCTTTACCGCTTAGATTACTCGCAACCGACTTTAATTTAACCACTCTTCAGGATTCTAAACTGTGAAACAATGAAGTGAAATAAGGATATAGAAGAAGCAGAATTGATTAAAGCTATTGTGAAATGTATCTTTCAAGTTTAATACCTTTTGACATTGTCTACTTGTCTCCTATCGGTTTGTCTCCTAGTTCTCTTCAATTGTAACAATGCAGTCTGCAGATACTTTAGGTTAGAAAAGCTAGCGCTGATCGTAGGCTTGTCAAGCGTTGGTGAAAGTATTGGGCTTTAAATGCAAACTCATTTTCTATGTGTATCCAATGCTTTCGAAAAATTGAGGAGAATGCAAGGGTTCATATGCCTCCTCGGCAAAATGAAGCGAGCAAATTTTTGTACAAGGTGACGGCTTGAATGCTTTCGTTTGCAAAATTATACCAAGGCGGCTCTACGGCTCTTCTGCTTAAGTGTTTTGCCGCAAGGAAAACGAAAGAAGTTAACATTTCTATTTGTCTTCAGTTCACTATCACTATTGCAGCCGTACACAGGGCAATACATTGCTTGACTTTGACCTTCGTGGTGCGTATTTAATACACAAATGCAATAGTGGAAAAGTATAGATTATAATGGAAAAGTATAGATTATAACATAGTCCATTTATGTTTTGATTTTTATGTTTTTTTAGCAAACTGAAGCATCATTTCCTACCTACCCTCGCCCAGAAAAAATGGACAAAAAATAATGTGGTTTACAACGTGATTTTAAAAAATTTGTGTCAACTATATATTACATTGTTGCACGATATATTACATTACATTGTTGCACGATGTTCGGCGCGCGCGCGCCTACACTAAAGGCGTAAATACTCGTCGCATATCTTCCACAAAGCGAAAGAACACTTATTATGGAAATTTATAGACATAATCAAGGTTGCTATGTCATTTTTATGCAATTTCCTCAAATAACTTAGAAAAAAACAGTATGTAAACTATAGTTATTTAAAAGGGCCTCATACATCGTATAATCCGTTCCCCTGCCAATGACGTCAGAAAGGCATTTCAGCATAAATTAGCATATCGGGAATTTCTTCAAGATGGCGGACAGTATGCATAATTAGACCAATTTTGTTTGCTTTTTACTCCGAATCGAATAATTTTCATCCCAAATAAAATACATATCCTTATTAAGATGAACAATGCGAACAAAAATAGAAAATAAAAAAATCCGTTGCCAATGTCCTTTAACAATGATTTGCAATGCATTAATGAATGGACATGACTGGCATGTTACTATAAATCCAGGTAAAACCAAATCTGTCACATTTTCAGCTAAAATGTTTAAACCAGCACATCCAACGTCATACTTTACAAACGAGCCGATTCAAATTGTTAGTAATCATAAGCATTTAGGGGTTACCCTATCTTCAAATTTTTCTTGGGGAGCACATATACTCAATATTTCTGAGGAAGCTTCTAAAAAACTTAATCTTTTAAAAAGTTTTAAGTTTAAGTTAGATAGAGAAACTTTATCAAAATTGTACAAGTCTCTTATTAGATCGGTGATGGAATATGCCGATGTTCTTTGGGATGGTTGCTCTGGTTGAGCATGTTCAATATCAAGCTGCCACAGTGGTCGTAGGTGCTATGAAGGGTACTAGTAGAGTACGGTTACTGGAGCAATTAGCTTGGGAAGATTGAAAACAAGGCGATCCATTCATAAACTTATTTTATATTTTAAATTATAAATAAGTTAACACTAAATTATTACTTGGATTTACTGCCTCAAACAGTACCACAAAGGTCAGGTCTATCCTTAAGCATGGTTAATAGACCTAGATGGTTAGGCTAGCTGGGTCACGTGACAAACATGTTATTGTTCATTGTTTATAAGTGTCACGTGATGCGAACTGTTCATCACTCAACATGTCGATATTTTAATAGCTATATACAGTGACACAAATCGGTTTTACAATCTCTTCGAGAAAATCACTCTGTTCTGGCGCTGTTTGAATTATATATTGAAATTTAAGTTTTAAATACATGCCTGGGCGTAGTTGCACCTTTTTTGGCTGTCCAACAAGCCAAAAAACCGGGTTTTCTTTGTTCAATATACCGGCTACACGCGATGATGATAGCAAACATACTGTTGCATTGAAGACAAAAGCAAGAGAAGAATGGCTTCAACTAATATTGCAAACAAGGGAATTGACGCCAGAGTTAAAGAAACGTATCGAGGCGAGCAATATGTTTGCGAGTTCCATTTCAAGCCAGATTACATTTTAACAAGTAAGTTTGAGTTGATATTTGCACTTGATATTCAAATGCGACATGGCACAATGACAACTCTTTATACAAATGTTAATATGTCTCTTCTGTAAATGTTTACCTATCTTTAGATCCGAAAAGAAAAATTCAAAATAAGAAAAATAAAATATATGCACCTTCACTAGGAGCTCTTGCGGTCAAATTACAAAACAACAAAATCTAGCGCAATTCTTTTGCGAATTTCTCGAGAAGTACGCTGTTCCAAGAAACGAAAACACAACAATAACTTGTACGAATTTTACTCTTTTGAAATATAGTAAAATAATTTGGGGGAAAGAAATACCTAGCCACAGCGCTAAAATATATTTAAGGGTAAATTTCAAAATACGTGAAATTTTTGGGGTTTGAAGCAGAATTAATAGTTTGTAAGAAGCGTCAATAAAATGAAAGCTTTTGTTTAAAATTACCGCATTAGTTCGGCGTCCTTGCTGGAAAAGGCAGTGTACATTTCAAGCCAGCGATTGCAACAGAAACCCCATCGACACACAGCTTACCTTATATGATTTGGAGTCCAGTGCAACATGGATTTTTTCGCTCGGTATTTTATTTATTCACTTGACTTCTAGCTTTTGCCTTGAGCTACCTTTGGCGGACAGCGATTGTTGTTAGTTTGCAGGTTATACCACATTCATATGTTGACGATACAGTCCACATATGGAACCAACAACTTCACTTCATTTCAGCGTCCATTTTGGAAAAAGCCGTTTTGACTGATGTACGATCCATAATATGCTACTTTATGGACCAAAGTTTGAAACAAGTTCAAGTGTGTAGAACAAAATATCCAGCCAAATAGCTACCTGAAATATTTTAAAACCATTTAAAAATCGTATCAAAAACGTTCTTATATAATCTCAACGTGCCTAGAAATACTGGAAATAACAAAACCGATAACCGGATATGGATTGAATTTCGATTCTCGAACACCCTCGAGTAGCATAAGATGTATGTTTTGTCTAGAATACAATACAAAATGGAATAAAAGCAGGTTAAGAACGTTTAGAATGAATCCACGCATCCTACTGTATGGTAGATATAACTACTGTCCGAGTATGAGTCCATGTTACAAAGATGGATTTTCGCGAATGTAACTGTAAAGCGCTTCGACATAGGGTTCTTTCTTCCTTCCAAAAATCCCTGTGATTCCATAGTTAAGAGCATAGTTTTTTAGGACGGCCATTTTTTACTTGCGCAGTTTTTCCTTGCTCATGGTGGGTAAGACGATAGGATCATCTTCGTAGCAAGCGCATTGCTCTTCCTCATATTCTGCATTTAAAGCAACTGTGATTTGAGAAGTTACGGTCTGTAAAGTTTCAGCTTCTTCTTCTGCAGCATTTTCATATTCTACGATTTTCTTTCTTTTCGCCACCATCCGTGAGAAGTAAGAGGAGATTTGTTGTGGTGTTAAGAATTCGTTTACATAAAAGAGCCTGCTACCATCTGGTCTGCATACTCGTCTCATCTGTTGTGGCAACGTCCTCACCATTACTCTTTTTTCCTGTTCTTTCACCAATGTTAAATTTTTCATCAAGAAATTCTTTTTGTTTTTTGCTAAATCGCGCTTTATTCGAGCTTTGTTTGAGCGCCCAGCCCATAGGTAACACATGCGACTCACGATTTACTGTAGTTGAACTGGAGACGGCTATGCTTGGCCGCTCTCTCACTTGCCCTTCCTGGAGATGCTGAGCGTAGCTCAGTTTTGCTCTGTCGTAAATAGTTATTCTTTCGAGGGCTCTTGTATGAGCTCCAAGATCGCAGTGTTTTACCAAAGCTGAATATCTGACAAAGGTCTTAGTGCAACTTTGTTCAGAACATGCGAACATTCTTGAAGATTTACTATCGACAGGGTCGTTGCAGCTCAGATGAGCAGTGCTGTCACAATTTGACGAGCTTGAGTTACTACTGATCTCATCATCCGACTTTTCTTCGCTTTCATCTGTGACGGCAGGCTACATAAACAAAGTAAGTACTCAGTTTTCAATGTCATGTTCAACAACTATCAACATAAAATTTACAAACATGCATGTGCGATGCAAAAAACAATTTTCTAATTGCCGTCGTAAATATAAAATGATATCAAACGATATTAAAAACTATTAATGTTTTATCGCTAGATTCAGGGAAGTAAATGCAAAATCTGGTGGAATGCACTTGTTTTCATACTATTGTAAATATAATAGCCAAATTTACTGTTCTTATCCAAATATTCAGTCATGGTAATTCTTCATTAAGTACCGCAGCCTACTTCACCTTTCGTACTCTTTGGAAGACCTCTACAAAATCGCCAACACCAGTTTCTTCAAAAAACCATACGTAATCACCAGTCTTTGGCACTGTAATAAAATTCAAAAACAGGAAGTTATTACCAATGCACAGTATGTACACTGAATGACAGATTATTATTTTTCACTTGAAACTTTTTTTCCAAGGATTGTTACCTGAATTAAACGAGCTCCAGGAGAAGAATCTTCCAGCCCCCATGTTATAAGCACGAAACGCCGTAAACCCGCTGTTGATGAACGTGAAGTTGTTTAGGCTACTGATGCCTTCCAGCTTGTACTTTTCGGAATCTTTGAGATTGTTGCTATTCACCTTTACCACTGCAACCCTAACACCACTGATCCCTCCTCTTTATTCTATTGCATTTTTCAATTCTTTTGCATTTGTAACTGAGTGACCTTCGTTGACATAGCTCTTTACACGTGCTTTTATCTGGGCTGCCTTTCTATCACAGGCACCCTTTCCCCCCTGTGGATCACTAAAATCTACCTGTGCGACTTGTATTCCACTTTGCTGTGACACTACGCCCATCGACAAGATAACTAGTGCAGAATGATAACAGCCTGCATTATCTTGCCTGAAAAATGCACGGGAGATCTTGGGATGTTGTTTTTTTCAAAGTTCTAAGTACATGTTCCATAATGAGTATAACTGTTAGGGACTCTTGGATACCAGTTTCAAGAACATGTATAAACGTTTGTGATTCCAGCTTACCATTGACCTTCCTGTAACAAACGAATAAATGCCATGATATCCCATGCTTTCCAAAAAAATCACTTTGCGCCTCACGGTACTGACTGGGCATAAATTTCATCGCAAAGTCTTGAACAATCAGAACATCTTCTGAATCTATCAATGCAAGTACGTCAAGCCTGGCGCGATCCTGATTAATTGTTCTAAGTTGGTGAGCCTTCCATGACAATATAGCTTTCTGCGCATTCTGTACCAGGAAAAGTGCTTCATCTTTATCATCATTATTGTTAAATTTGGCACGCAATACATGAGTACTAACGTCTTCAACAACCTAACAAAATAAAAAGACGATGTGCCCATATCACTTAGTTTGCTTAAAGTGCGTGCATGTCAACACAAGATGACAAACATTTTTATCACAAGAATATTCTTCAATTAGATTTCTTTCTATCAACGTTTACGCACCTTATGTAGCTTTGAGCATCTGTCACATGTTTGGTTATGTTCGTGGTCGCACTTTGCTTTGTACTTCTTGTCTTTTTCGTCACTCATTGCAAACGGTATACAATGATCCGCAACTGTGGAGTCAAATGAAACGTGTACCTGCAAAGTAAAAAACATTATTTTATATCCTGAGTGATTGTTACATGAAATGATTGTCCTTACATTATAATCTCCCTTTAAGTACTGTTTGGAGTCCACTAGTGCTTCTTTCAGCTCCGTCGCTTGTTTATCGGTTAGTTGGTCACGGGGGATCTTGTCCACAATGGATTTTAGTTCATCGAAGGCCTTGGTTCCCTCAGCTAAAAAGTTATCCAAACCACGCAAGCATTTTCGTACAGACGCTCCACAACTCTCCGAGATAATCTTGAACAAAGTTCTCTTTCCAAGTGGATTGAAGTTAGTTTCTAGGCAAAATCTAAGGTACTGATCAATTAGTCGCGATGGAATTAATAATCTGATGACATTAGGAATGTCTATTTCCTCCCCTGAAGAGAGACGCAATTTTCGTCTTCCAAACGGCAAATCTTGAATGATATTTTGGCTAGTTATAAACTCGATAAAGTGCTCAACCTGGTTTGGATCTATACGTTGTCTCAGTATAGTAGATTGTGATCCAATTTGTATTGAAAGGGAGCTTGCTCCAAATTGGGCAGCATGTCGACGAGCTGCTGTAAAATGATGCCGAGAAATCCCTGGTATCAGCTTCTCTAGATCGCGGAATGAGAGCTTGTCTGCTATTATGCTTAATATATTTTTCCGTGTACTTGAGTGCGTTGCCTGATTGTAACTTTCTACCATGGCATATAACAGCGATGAATCTGCAGTGGTCTCGTTATAGCGTAGGTTAATCCCTGGTGAGTCTTTTAGGGCTCGCCAGAGCAAGCCTGCGTCATTAGGTGCAACTATCTCAAGGGCAGTGCTAACAATTTCTTCCATTTTAGATACATAGTACTTCGTTGTTTTGGGTGTGGCATCTGTCCACCTGGCATTAAGAGTGCGTTTTATCGGCGGGTGGCCATCCAAAGAGAGCAACTTGTTTATAGTTTCAATTTTCTCAGTCTTTTGGTTTTGAATCGCAACCTCTTCGTCGCTGTCATTAACTGGACTGTGTTCCACGTCCACCCAAGAGAGATCAGGCTTTCTCGGTGTTGTTGAAAGCATGGCAGCTGCGGTAAGTCTCTGTTTTCCTATTAATTTACTCTGACGATCAGCAGGATTCTACAAGAAAGGGAAGCAATAAATTAAAAAGTATTTACTATTGTAGATACTCTCTATGAAAAATGTTATTTAGGTATCTTGTTGGCACATGCTACCTGTGTATCAACCTTTCTCTCTTGTTCTCCAAAAAACTTCCTGCACTCTCTACACACAGCTAAGACGGTAAGAAAACAATTGCTTTAATCTTTGGAAAGAAGGAAGAATAATTTAAACGGAAAGAATGGAACAAGAATACGCATTAATAAAAACATTAAATTAAGCAAAATCTCACAAAGAACAAGGAAGGGAAGAGAACAATAGGTTTTTTCTCTATATGTTATTGAATCAAAATATGCTATAAATACATATATCGATCTAACCAGATCCTACTGGGATGATTTGTCCTGTTTCCTCCATGATGTGCTTCGATTGATCCTTCCGCAATCCTCGATCACCTCTAACTGCATTCCTATGTTGGGCCAGGCTGGTCGGTACTTGGCAATTTTTCCTTCTTCCTCTCCAAAATATCCCAAGAGAGTCGCGGTGATACTTACAAACAGCATACGCGGACGCTTCCTCGAAGCCCACATCAAACAAACCTACAGTTTAAGAGCGTAATTCAAAACAATAGGTTTCAATTCATGCAAAGGATATGCATGTATCATAAAACTTGCCAGACCTTTCTTAATAAGATCGTTCAGAACATTATAATAAATTTAAAAGCAAACATAACAAAACCTACACCCAATCTGCAAGTAAGTTATCATCGTTAACTTAACTAATCTTAAATGCAAGTAAGCCGGCAGGATCAATGAATATGAAGAATTACTTTGTCGAAATGCTGCAATAAACTCGGATATCAACACTATTTGATTATTGATAAATCAATATAACGTAATTGTTCTCTTTCTGTGCAACGAAAAATTAAAACATCTTCCCACGTAAGATTTGTTTACCTGCGCGACATAATATCAGATCCATCTCATTACAGACATTGCTACTTTTTCCGACGCCATACGTCTGCAAATGTCTTGTGGTGTCTTTGTTGCATTCTTTCAGCAGTACCTTTACTCCTTTGCACGAGGTGCCGTCTCTTAAGAGATTAGAAAACGTACAGCTTTCCATGTTTAGGGGCTGCTGTTCACTATGGAAATTGGAAATAAACTCAAAAATGTTTTGAATGAATTCATTTCCGGTTGTCGGTTTTGTTAACTTCCGGTTTTTCCAGGAACTGCTTGGGATTTTAAGTACACTTTTGATGCGATTTTATATGGATTAAAAACGATATTGGGTTGCTATTTGAGCTGGATAATTTATTATATTTTACACACTTGTACTTGTTTTTTGGTCTATAAAGTAACATATTATGGATTGTTCATCTGTATCGATTGCATTTCCTACATCAGTCGAAGTCAAATCGACTTTTTCAAAATGGACGCCAAAACTTAGTGTTGCCGAAGTGAAATTGTAGGCGCTATCTGTGGAAAATGTCGTCAACATATGAATGTGGTATAACCTGCAAACTCACAACAATTGACGTCTGTGAATGTAGTTTGGGGCAAAAGCAAGAAGTCCAGACCATACGTGAAATACTGAGCAATCAATCCATGTTGCATTAGACTCCAAATCATGTAAGGTAAGCTGTGTGTCGATGGGGTTTCTGTTGCAATCGCTAGCTTGAAATGTACACCGCCTTTTCCAACAACGAAGCCGAACTAATGCGGTAATTTTAAACAAAAGCTTTCATTTTATTGACGCTTCTTACAAGTTATTAATTCTGCTTCAAATTCCAAAAATTTCACGTGTTTTGAAATTTACCTTAAATATATTTTAGCGCCGTGGCTAGAGTATTTCTTTCCCCAAAATTATTTTACTATATTTCAAAAGAGTAAAATTCGTACAAGTTATTGTGGTGTTTTCGTTTCTTGGAACAGCGTACTTCTCGAGAAATTCGCAAAAAAAATGCGCTAGATTTTGTTGTTTTGTAATTTGACCGCAAGAGCTCCTAGTGAAGGTGCATATATTTTATTTTGCGTAAAACAAATTCCACATAAACTGCTATCATTTCAAAGTATTGGGATGGATGTACAAACGAACGAATTTTTGTTACAATTGATTTTAATGTCAGTAAGTAGTAGGCTGTTGTAGTTGGCCTTCGAGAGGGTAAAAAATTGGCTCAAAACACGAGCCCATGGCTGGCGTGGTCAATGGCAGTTACCATGGCAACAAAGCGTTTGCAAAATCTAAAATGGACAGATATGTTAATACCTCAGGGTAACCTCCATGCACACTAAAAATGAGGGGGAGTTAAAAATTTTCATTTCCAATTTTGCTCACTTTTCTCATGCACTTGCTCTTGAGGACTTGTTTTTCGTGACCCAATGATTCGTTTTGACCTGGTGAGCTGCATCCCAATGTTGAATATTGGGAGGTCATCACGAAGGAGCAGTCTTTGGCCATTCAATCGATAGACGTTGTGCGTTGGGTACGAGAGCATGCACATACCGGTTTTTGAATTTGCTCATCATTATAAAGGTTCTTGTCAGAATCAGTCCTATGATTCGGATCGCCCGCCCCGGAGATATTTCCGCAACCATCAATCTTGTAAACCTTTTGTGGAGTTTCTCTGTCAGCCGTTGTTCGATCATTGTTTATCCTCTCACTGTGGAACCAAAGTCGCCACGCCACTATTATGCACGTCTTTCGTCTTCTCGTGTTGCCGATGTCACAGAACCATGGAACGATATTCACAAACTTAAACGATTTGTTTGCGCTTTTTCTACTGCTGCTATATGGACACGACAGTAGTCTGATTTGTCCTGATTGATTTACCCATGTAAAGTGGGAGTTTGGGGTGAGATTGGGGTGTTTTTGAGGTTATTGGGTGTTAGGGAAGCAATCCCGCTGGGTTTGTGGGAAAGACAAGTTCAGGTGGCGTGGATCACCATTATCCCCAATCCTTAATTAGACTGAGCATGATTGTGATGGTTGTAATAGAATACTATGTGTACTGCTAGCACGGATACCCTCAAGGCTAAGATACCGGTAATATTTTCAACGGTTAAAATATATAAATATTGTAAAATCTGAAATAAACAATTACCATTTATCTTCGTGTGGTGGTTTCCTGATTATCGTATGTGTGAAAACAGAAATGTTCGCCTTCTCATTTTGGTGTGAATACGTTGAAAAGGTCAAAAACTGGATCTCGGCCACAGCCGACCTCGGAATTCTAATTTCGCTTGAAGTGCTGAGATATCTCTTTGATTTGGCCAAATTTGGAAAAATAAGCGTCAAGCCTCTTCGAAAGATTGGTAGTATCAGTTGTCGTGTATTTAGATTATACTTTTAACAAAATATGAATAATACATAAGCATGGCCGATCTACATATCTAATGCGCATGCCTGTGCGTATCACCGCTGTCCGTCTATATCTATATATCTAACACCATTTCTCCTCTTAAGGAATGTATCATAAAATATTGTTCATGAGTTCACTATCGTGTTCGAACAATTATGCTAACCATAACAGTAAGTAATAAAGCAGTTCTCTATGTAGTTTTCTTAAACAGCTTTCGGATCAAACAGTTAAGACCCCACCTCTTGGGTGGTTGGTGTGATCTAGTTGGGTAGCGTTGTTCAGATCCTGTTGTAGCCCTACCGGCTTCTTGTTGTTGCACTACTGGTGGATTCGTGGCTAGTTCGATATCCGGCTCTGCAATATTCTGGCCAGTCTCTCTGAGCTCTGGATGAGGTTCAGCCGTATCATCACTCTGGTCATTCACACTCGAGGCTCGAAGCTGGTCGATGTGACGTCGCCAAATTCGATTTGGACCAACTTTTATCTCGTACGAAAGGGGTCCCGTTTGAGCGCGTTATGCCTGGTACGTAGCCACCAGGGCAGCTCTTGGCTAGGTGCTCGATGTCCTTATCAATTTTGGGCCACCAGATGTAACTTCGCGCCAGAGACTTCATTTTAACAATACCGAGATGACCTTCGTGAAGCTCGGTTAACACTTGATTACGTGTTCAACTTTGCAGGAATGACTGCTCTGTGTCCAAGCATCGCTTCATCTTGTGGAGTGGACCATCCTTTCATAACCAACTCATGGACCTTCACCAATAGAGGATCTCTCTGTGTTTCTCGTTTGACCTGTTCTGCTGTGACTGGCAAACGCTCAAACTGCGTAGCATAGAAGAGGCCCACTGGATCTGGCTCTTCTTCGAGACAAACCATCCGCATTCCCGTGTAACTTAGTGTTCTTGTATCTAATTGTATAGTCAAAACCCGCCAGGAACAAAGCGTAGCGTTGTAATCTAGCAGCAGTGACAACAGGAAGGCTTTTGCTGGGATGAAAGATTGAAGTGAGAGGCTCATGATCAGTCAGTAAGGTAAAGTTCCTACCGAAAAGGTAATTGTGGAATTTCTTGACTCCTCACACTGTACCCAGCGCTTCTTTATCTATCGGTGCGTAGTTGCGCTCCGCCTTCGACAGGGATCTCGATGCAAACGCTATCTGTAGCCCTGTGCCGTCTGCCATGACATGGGACAGTACCGCTCCAATTCCTACAGGTGAAGCAGCACAAGCCAGTTGTAAGGGAAGGTTAGGATCATAATGTGTAAGCACCAGATCTGAAACAACCATTGCTTTAAATTAACTTTGCAAAAGGCTTCCTCGCATTGATCTGTCCAGTTCCATTGGTAGTTACTTTCCAGCATTTGGTTCAATGGATGCAGGATTGTAGCAAGGTTTGGCAGGTATTTGTGGTAATTATTCACCAATCCCAGGAAGGAGCGTACCTCTGCAACACTCTGGGGGCGAGGGGCATTCACCATTGCAGCTGTCTTGTCGGTGGTCTTGTGCAGGCCTTCGCTATTAATGTCGTGGCCACAGAACGTGATCTTTTCTTTGAATAACTCACACTTCGATTTATTGGCTCTTAACCCATGGTGGTGCAGCCGTCGAAGGACCTTCTCCAGGTTAGCCATATGCTCTGCGTCGCTTTTACCCGTCACAATCATATCATCTAGGATACAACTAATACCAGAAGTTCCTTCCAGAGTCTGATCCATGGTACGCTGCCAATTGGCGGGAGCCGAGATAATACCAAACACCAATCGATTGTATTGAAACAAGCCCATGGACGTATTAATTGTAAGGTACTTCTTGGATTCTTCCTCCAGCTCAATCTGATGGTAAGCTTGGCGGAGGTCGATCTTGGAAAACTTTTTCCCACCATGCAGCTAAATGGGCAAAGATATCTTCGATTCGACGCAGAGGATACTGTTCTGCTTGTAGTGTTGGGTTAATAGTACCTTTGAAGTCACCACAAATACGGACTGAACCATCTTGTTTCGGCACTGGTACAATCGGTGTCACCCAATCCCTCCACTCTACATTCGACAAAATACCTTCGCTCTGAAGTCTCTTCAGTTCTTCCTCCACTTTCGGTCGTAAGGAATATGGGACCTGACGAGCTTTGCGAAACTGTGGTTGACTACCTTCTTTGAGGGTTATCCTTGCTTTGGCAGATTTGAAAGTTCCCAGGATTTCAACAACTTTATGGTTTTCCAGTTGAGGCGAAGCTTGTGAAGCCAATCTCGACCCATTAACACTGGGCCCTTAGTCTGGACTACATGGAATGGCAATAGACATGATTGATCTAAGTATTCAACTTGCATGGTAAGGCAACCAACTGGAACGATCAGTTCACCAGTATAGGTGTTTAGTACAGTGGTTGTTTTCTCTAACTTCTTGTCGCGAAATCTTTCTCAGGTAGATTAATGCATGGGTCAAGTTTCAGCCAAGGTCGAAATATGGGTATACCAAGTTGGGCGCGATTTTTAAAAAGTAAACAAGGTTAGGTTTAACCTGTCATGGTTTAATGTTATAGATTTTGACCTGGTGCATTTCTTACTGATTTTTATTTTATTATTCGTTCTTCACATGAGCAGTTATATAGCCTTAAACGTCAATAAACACAGGTTAAATGGAAACCCATTGTGCGGACTCATAAAATCGCTTTCCCCAATTGCCATTTTGGGTTAATGTTGTACATAGCATCTTGTACTAAACGAATCTAACTTGCTTTGTTGTCTAGATGGCTAAACAAAGTAAATATTTTGCGTTTTATGTCAATTTATTCCGTAACTGTGCATATTTATTTAAATATATTTTGAATATTCGTGTTAATGTAGGTATACCAAGTTATGACTATCAAGTTTGTGTTGTGCTTTATCTATTTAGCATAAAATTATCGTTGCTTATGTATTGTAACCTTGTCCGCAAAACGGGCGAAAGTCATAGTTTGTATCAAATATAGAAAGAAAGCTATCGCCATTAAGCCGTATTATTTACGACCAGCGGGAGTCCGCATTGTCGATTATAATTAGTTGCGCAAGACTGCAAGTCCATACAAATGCGATGAATACCCATGATTTCATGTTTATATTGTACACCAACATCGTCTTGATTATTTCTTATAAATAAAATATGAAACTACAACTTTATAATATGAAATACAACGTGAAATTGTTGCATTTGTATTGACTTGCGTCTTGCGCAACTAATTATAATCGACAATGCGGACTCCCGCTGGTCGTAAATAATACGGCTTAATGGCGATAGCTTTCTTTCTATATTTGATACAAAACTATGACTTTCGCACGTGTTGCGGACAAGGTTACAATACATAAGCAACGATAATTTTATGCTACATAGATAAAGCACAACACAAACTTGATAGTCATAACTTGATATACCTACATTAACACGAATATTCAAAATATATTTAAATAAATACGCACAGTTACGGAATAAATTGACATAAAACGCAAAATATTTACTTTGTTTAGCCATCTAGACAACAAAGCAAGTTAGATTCGTTTAGTACAAGATGCTATGTATAACATTAAACCAAAATGGCAATTGGGAAAAGCGATTTTATGAGTCCGCACAATGGGTTTCCATTTAACCTGTGTTTATTGACGTTTTAGGCTATATAACTGCTCATGTGAAGAACGAATAATAAAATAAAAATAGGTACGCGACGCGTACATGTATCTGCGAAAAAACTTGATTCACATTTTGTATTTTCTTGAAAGAAACTGAATAATGAAGATGGCATGGGACAATTGATATATTTCATCACTTATTATAATGGCAGATAAGATTTAAAACAGGGCTGTACACAGCGGGGAGTGCAGCAGGGCAAATGCTACCCCCATCCCCGCACCGAGAAAATTTAACTAACTTTATAATGTGATTATGATTGTAACAGATAATTATGCAGTCAGGAAATAAAAATTTCATGCAAACAATATTCAAAGTGTCTATACAGCAGGCTATTTAGTAAACTGTCACCTGTCAATTCAATCCATACTCATCAAATTTTCAAAACTTTATTGTAATCATATGAAGCAAAAGTTATGTCACTTGTTGTTTACACTTGCCAATGTTAACTGTTGAGTAACATACACAAAATATTTGGTGAACATGTCGAAGACTACTGAATAATTGAGAATGTTTTGAAGGTCATGAGTGAAGTATATAATTAAATTCCAGTTCTGTGCACAGTAAATGATATACCACACTGTTCGGTTTAACACGTACAGCACATTCATGCAAAAACAATCGTGTTGTGGGAGATTATCGGTTTGAGTAGAAGGTATCACAAATTTAGTTTTGTATATTGTGTGCCATTGATCAAATCCACCATATAATATATGATTATTCATTGTAGCTGTTAAATTATTTTCCATACTAATGAATTTAGGTAAGATTGTCTTGCAAGTTTGTTTTTCTTACAAAATTATCCAGCCAATATCCAGTACATTTATTCTTCATTCTTGTATTAATCTCTAAAGAAAAATATTTATGTTAGAAAGCAAAATGACAATGTAATGAGGTTTGGGAGGGTGAGGATTCTTTTATTTGAAAGTGTTTATAAAAATTTTGTTTAATTAACTCTAATGTGTAAAACCAAAATGTATAACAGTATAAGTATTTTAACTGATAACATCTTCAACCTTTGCTCTAACACTACATTTGATGACAGCTATATATAGTTGGACTGTTGTTTTGAACAGAGTTACGGAGTCAATATACAGAAATACAGGACCAGGATTTAATTCAATATCTCCTGAGAATGTTTTCACTGTTTAAAATATTACATAAGTCACAGAAGGATTGTTTTTAATACTGTATAAATCTTTTTGTGAACTATGTTGACAAATGGCTTAAAATATCCTCGAAAATATCCAATATTTTATACAGTGTAATATATTAATAAAAAATTCCAGAGTGCATTCCATGTAAACTCTACGCCGAAGATACGGCAATATTAACTATAGATAGTATAGTAAATATTTGCCGAACTGGCGAACTCATGTATTATAAAATATGTGGGACATATATTTGCACAAATTTGGTATTTAAATATATAATATGTGGTATTTGACTACTTACCAGATGAGGATAAGATTCCATGTTGATAAATAACTTCAATTCAAGATAAATTGATAAAAATATCAAGATATTTTTGAAAGAATAAACACGATTTATACACGAGGCCTGACGAGGCTAAAGTATGCCCGTTCGCAGGTTAGATGCGGGCACGATGTAAACAATTGATGTAAACGAATCGCTGATTGGCTTAAATTGTCTTAAATTATATAAGCTCGTCGCTGAATGGCTATCTGTTAACATACGGTACGGTACGTTTGCAGTACTGTACGTTTGCGATAGCATATATATCTGCTTCGCAGATACAAAAA